GCCTGGTGTTCACTGGTGTTCACTATGCTTAAGTGAGCTAAAAAAAAAAGAGGCACAAAATCATCAGAAATATATGTTTTAAATAGAAGTATGCACTTAAATAAGAGTGAAGGGAATCGTTTTTGTTAAACGCGTAGCTGGAAATTGGCAACGTCATGCTTAAACGTAAGTGCATGTTGTTTATCAGTTGGGAGCAAGTTCCCATGAACCCGGCCAAGACTCCAGGGTATTCCTGACACTTAGCCAAGAAACAGTGTTGGCGCACAAAACCTGTGAAATCGCCCCAAACATTCTGGTTTTGTACTGATTAAAGGAACAAGGTATATAATTGATTAGTGGAAGAACGATTTGTTTTGGCAAGACCCCTCATATTTCCAGTCCTTTTCATGAGCTAACTGGAAAAATTAGAGTGGCAACAACACTCTCATATAGCCTAACTCGAGAAAATTAATAAGCACATTTCCAAACATGTCGAACTATTTATTTTTGTTTTTTAATGGAAGGAATCCAAAGATGATCATTAGCAGAGGAGGAATGGAGGCTTGGCTGTTGAAGCCAGTCTCATTAAAGCAGAGATATTTGATCCAATCCCACAGGTCCTCTCCTGCATTCCTGTAGCATTACGTGGGCATTTGCCCTTTTAGAAAGGCTACGCTTGTATTGAATCTCCACCTTGTTTCATTCATTTCTCCTCTGCCCTCCCTATGCTGCTCAGCTAGCATGCTTCCTCTCCTTGTTTCTGTCCTTCCATCCTAATGGCTCAGACAACATATTGTGGCTCTAATCACCATCATCTCTGTTCCTGAAACAACCTGCCTCCTGAAGACAAGGACCATGCTTTACTTGCAGTAATTGGCTCAAGGAGAAGGATGAGCCAGATGGGTACAGCAGAAGGAGAAAATGTAATGAATGCACGTCACTGAGAAAACGGCCAGCTAAACTGGAGAGTCTAATGAAGGAGACAAGGATACCAACCTGTGGGAAGAGATGAAGGTGGAGGCAGATGAAAGGCAAGTGAGACAGCGTCACCATGGAGACGTTGGTTAAAAGGAAGGTGAGCCATGACAACGGGCGCGCCATTGCGCGTGCCCTCCCGCCTCATGATGTGGTGACTGGGGGTGGGTGGGTGAAGAGGTGAGGAGGAGTTAAACAAAACAAAGGAGGAGGAGGGGCTGACTACATGCAGCTCTATCTATATCTTCTTCTTTTTTTCTTTTTTTTTCGCACACAACATTATTTAAGCGCACACACTGAATGCTTAGACCATTCCAGGAAATCGGTGTTGATTGCTGAAGATCTCGGCTGAGTCACAGGTCCTTGAGCTGACTGATGCAAGAATCTGAACTCAGAGCATAAAGTAAAGTAAAACCAAACAAACAAAAAGACCATTTGTCACACAGTGTATGTGTTTGAGTTTGTATATGGGTGTGTACTCCTTTATTATAATGACGGAAGCAAGCCATTGTTGAGCTAGTCTAATTTTCTCCCCCCACATCTCTGGTTTATGTGCAAGGAAACAGCAGCGGTATCACCCAGAACAGCAGGGCTGCTGGGTTTAAACAGGAGTGAAAGAAATATATCATTTCATGATTATAGAGAACTTGCATGGTTTTACAGGTTGAAGAAGAAAGGAAGCAAAATGAAGTCACTTGCTGAAAGAATAATATTTTTAACATACAACCAAGACTGTCCATTAAGCAAATCATTTCCTCCTAGAAAAAGAGGCTCATTCTCAGTATTCTCTGACTACAGGTCAGAACATTGTGACTCTACATCTGTTTGCCTTGAAACCTGTAAATGTGTGGTTTTCATGCGTTTCTCTCTCAGGCCTAAAGGACCCCCACCCTGAAAAATACCAGCTCAGTTAATAAAGTCTGCACTGCACATCTGTGATTCTGAGTCTCTGCTTTGTTAGAAAAATGGCACGAGTCCAGAATCTGAAAAATCCACGAGTCATAAAAGGAATTCATGTCATGTTTTCTCTTCTCCCTGAAAAGCACCTTGAGTAAGAGCCGAATACAAAAAAGGTTCACGATCAAAACAGAGACGAAAAACTTTTCCTGCAAAAGTATGTAATTACGGGTCTTTTAAAGGAGGCTCTTTAAGCTCTTTAATTTTTTTACGAGGCTTATTTTTAATGGGGGGTGGGGTTGGGGGAGCTGAAGATGATAACTCTACTTGGTGAGATCTCCAGATCACAATCTGAGGAGCTGTGAAAGAGCTGGGTTGGAACACAGTGCCCTGACCTCAGCTCTTCTGATTTACCAGGACACCCTGACTGCCATGCTGTTGTTGTTTTTAAAATTATTTAGATAGTGCAGAACATCTTTGAGTTATTTTATCTGAAGGCAGAGCAGATGTAGAAGGAGGCTCAGAGAAATATTTCAGTGGAAAGATAAACTTCAGAACTGAATTAATGGAAGGGCGCCTCCAAAGCATACTTCTGTGTAACTTAGCAACCAAAGGAGGGAATGGTATCATCAACACTTTGCCAAAATGATTTCTGTTTTGTCTAATAATGGGCTTTGCTATCGATAGACTTATAGAGTTCAATGGAGAGAAAGAAGAAGAAGGGCACTGAAGAAGCAGGAAACAAAACCCATGAGAGGATGAGAGTGGCACTAAAGACTCGTAATCTAATTACTATCATTTTCTCCGTGCCCTGATGTTACTCTCATTGATAAAGAGAGAAAAAGACAGAGAGAATGCAATAGTGCCGTTCACTGGGAATGTTTATTTTCTTTTTAGCATCTGAAGTAATTAATCAGTACAGAATGATGCACAGAGACAGCACATCACAAGCCCCGGAGACGAATAACAGATTCAGTCAGTGAATCTTTTACCAGCAGCGGCCTGTTGGGATATGAGTTTAGAAACCTCTGATCCATCACTCAGAATCATCACAGTGCCCAGGGGGGTTGGTATAACTTCCACAACAAGAGATAAACACGCAAATAGAAGCGCACACATCCTTTAAACTCTACCAGATATTTAACAGCTCACGTCACAACATCCAGACCACCAGGCTGTTTTTCTTACTGACCCACAGCTCAGACACTGGCAGAGAAATATCTACTAAAATGTTGCTTGTTGCTTAAACATGCATTGCAGAAGTTATATTTAGAAGTTGAATAGCATTTGAGCATTTCTGACACATCGGCGTGCTTGTTTTTACACTGTAAAAGGACAAAAGGCAAAAATTTAAAAGGAGATTGAGCAGGGGACCATTTCCTTCAAACATGATGTGAGACAGCTCTCATTCACCCTGTCACTTTCACTCACGCACACAAGACATCGGCCAGCATCACGGCCAACAAATGAGCCAAAAATTGATCTTCAAGTAGTTCTGTGTGCTTGTTCACTTTCAGCAAAACAGATAGGCGACAGTAAGCATGTTCCATCATCAGTTTCTTAATATGCATGCAGGAAAATGTGCCCTTTTGAAGAGAGACACAGTTCAACTCAATTTATACAGCAGCGATGTGACTGCTGTGACCTCTGACACCGCTGCCGTCCCCCATGGCGATGGCTGTTTCTAAATGGAGAGTCACCACGTCCAGTGTGTGATGCTGAGAGCTAACACATTCTCCAAACACCACCACACCTCTCCTCCTTTCCCTTTAACTGTGTTTTGATCTGTGATTCAGTTTTTTTCCATTTGCTCCCCCCTCTCACACCCACACCCACACCGAGATGGACTTAAACAAGGCAGCAGGCACAGCAGCACAGTGGGTCTTTCAACGTCACGAGGGTCTCTGCAGCTCTTCAGCTATACGTGACAGGCAGCTGACGGCACAGTCGAGTTTCAAAAGCACCTTCCTCCCTCCCCCATCCCTCTGTGACTTTTGGTACTGAGGATAAAGTAAAAGCAGTTTTTCTTTCTTTAAGAGATGTGAAAGGATGGAAAATATGAAACGATAGAGCAGGACAGCGGATGCAATTAGATGTGAGATGGAAATAGGGCAGGAAAGGCAGAGCTGGGCTGAAATGAAAGAGTACTTGTATGTGTGGGATGTCAGAGGACGCTGACCTGAAGCTCTTTAGAGACTTGAGATGTTGTTGGAGCATCAGAGGAGGGTTGTAAGGAGACACTTGAAACGAAAACATGAAACGGGAATACTACAGGAATGTTACTGTTCATATCAACTTAAATATATTAAGGTATTCAAACATGTGGATAAAGTATAACAAATCTGTGTGGCATCTGTTCATGTACTGTAGAACCTTGGACACCTCGTGTAGTGCTCTTGATTGGTTTAGCATGAAGGCGTCACTGTGCGATAACAGTGATAGCCCAAGTGTTTAATAAGGCTTTTGATCTCACCATAAACTTCACCTGTCGCCACCTTTTATCTCGTCTGCTGTAGACCTTTACACCTTGTGGTCCTGCGGAATGCCGGAGCTTCTGGCCCCCAACAGAGGCCCAGTGTTTATCACATCTCTGTCATCGAAGGGAGAGAGAAAGAGAGAGCAGGAGAAGGAGGAGGGGTTTGGTGGGGGCTGCTCAACTGCGACAGCAACTCCGCGGTGGTTTTAGCCTGTGAGTCATCGCTAGAGGGTTTAACTCTTCCGATGCCAAGTTGAGAACGTGCAGCGATGTTGTTTTTCATGACCAAAAGTGCATTTTTAAGAACTTCTCGTTACAAAGAGGGATTTGACGTTGGCACATTTAGTTCTACATCTCATAAAACTGGCGCCTAAGAGTTGGTTTCACTTCAATCAAATCAGCTCTCCTGTACATGCAAAGTTAACATTTTCATTGTTTCCACAGCTGAATCTAACAAACGGCTTTATTTCTTTTTGTTTTTCCCAAGCAGCAGCTCCAAACATCCTTCCTGTCAGCATCTTCTACACAGCGCTGCTGTGCAACAGACAGCGTCCAAGGCTATTTTTAAACGCAGCTATTAGTATGCCATATCATAAACCTGAATCATTTATATGGATTTTTAGGGCCGGTTATTGCGTGTGCTGTGTGATGACGCGGTGGTCAGGTGTTGCCTCATATAACCAGGGGAGCTGTCCGAGTGCTGAAAACAGAAGAGAACAGCACCGCTACTGAGGAGATGTCATACACCCTTACTGCTGTCTGAGCTTTACTGCCAAAGGTAAACCACGATTTCTTTTTTATTTATTTGATTCAGTTTTTTTTATTCTGATTCACATCTAGACGGGTAAAATTGAAAGACAGTCTTTTTTCTATTTTTTAAATCACAGCTTCTCGCAGATTTCGACACGTTCCGTTAGAACGAATGAAATAGAAAGAAAACTATATCCTTCTACAGTCGGGGATTACAGTGAGTTGTAAAAACGGAGGATTGTTTTTAGTTAATGTGGATGCTGACGGGAGGAAATCTGATTTTTTTAAGACGTCAATAACCAGACGGGGAGTGACTCATCCAGCGATGTGAATGTTTCTCCACGCGCACACCGACACATCGTTCAGTTTGCGAAGCGTAACTCCCCGACAGGCGCACAAACCCCAGATCAAAACAGAATTGTTTACGATCGTGCTCGTTGCTTCCTGATAAGCTTTTAGTTAAGATAACCGAAGAGAGGGAAATAATCTATGATCTTTTCCCCCTCCCAGCTGCTTCACCATCATTGTCCTCTCTCTTGTTTTCCAGGTAATAATTTGCCTATAATGCTGCATTTTCACCACAAGTTGCCCGCGGGGGGAGCCGTGGTCCTGCTCGCCTTCCTCCTTCATGGATGCGCCGTGCAGGCTGCGTCTCTCCCCCGTCACTACAGGCTCCGAGGAGGGAGAGTGAGGGGCAGCCGGCTGCGTATCCACCCAGCGCCGACATGATGAAAGCCCTGGAGTACATTGAAAACCTGAAGCAGCAACGAAACGGGGGCCAGCCTGAACCCGTGGATTACGACGAAGTGGAGAAGTTCAGGGTCCTGCTTCAGCTCGCCTCGCAGCAGGACGAAGGTCCCGGGGATCACCAGCCTTCCCAGGGCATGCAGAGGCAGGACATTACCGCTGAGCAGCTGATGAAAGCTCTGCTCAGGTCCCTCCAGGATCAGACCGGGAAAGACGCAAAGCTTAGCCCCCCAACGCCGCCGAGAAATGACCGCCGAGCTCACAGGCACCGCACCAAAGATACTGAAATGCCTGAGGGCGCACCAGTAGATTACGGTAACTTCCCCAGACCCCACAAGAAGTACCCACTGATGTTTGAGGACGAGGAAAATACTGACGCTTCCAAGCGGGCCACCGAGGACCTGGATGAGCAGTACACACCCCAGAGCCTCGCCAATTTGCGGTCCATCTTTGATGAGCTCGGGAGGATGCCCACAATCGGTGGGCAGAAGAGAGACGGGGACGACGGGGAGGAAGAAGAGGACCGACTCAGCCTGAGAAACCAGGCCTATGAGGATGTGGCCGGAGGCGAGGAGTGGGTCCCCATGGAGGAGAGGGAAGAGGCGGAGGAGATGGTCAACGGGAGCCATGAAGAAATGGACAGGGCGCTCAGTGACCAGGAGGAATCAGAGAGGGAGGAGATGCAACGCCGGGCCAGCCAGAACCAAGAGGAGGCTGATGATGACACTAAGCTCGTAGATTACTACCTGCTGAAAGTCCTGGAGATGAGTGACCAGACGCAGAAGAGGGATAGGACCGGTGAGCAGAAAAAGAGACTGATCCGTCCCTCTATCGTGGATCCTCGGACCGTGAAGGAGTTGCTGGAGCTTTCCCTGAAGCTGCACGTCCCTCCACAAGACCTTATCGATATGCTGCTCACCGAGGAGCTCCGAAAGCTCCACCGCGATCCACAAGCCGCGGCTCGTTACACGAATGCTGGCCAAACCCCCAAGATAAGGTACTTCAGCCGCAGACTGCCGCTGAAAAGCAAGACTATCCCTGATGATATGGACAGAGAGGACTTTTTAGACATCATCGGGGTAGAGACAATCAGTAACGAGTACCCCGTGGTGCAGAGACCCATGAAGACCTCTCAGCCCTCAGACAGAATGCCTGCTGCGTCCAACCCTGCTGCAAATTCAGGTCCAGTTAAAATCCCCCCTCCCTCCGGACGTAGGGAGAACCTGTTTCTCTCCGAGCTCAACAAAATGCCCCTGAAGCGTGAGGCTGACAGTGACGACGACGACGGCGGTGACGTGGAAGACGAGGTGACAACATACCTGGCGGCAAAAATTCTCACAGAGTACCCCAACACCATCACCAAGCGGGACACCCAGGCGCAGCTGAAGGCGCAGTTCCCGTACGAGCTGTACGAGCGCGCAATGGACTACTTGGGGCAAGTGGACAATGAGAAAAGGCCACTGGTCAAGAGGGAAACCGAGGAGGCCACAGAGGAGAACGTAAAGCCCACAGAAATGCAGGGGAAAGAAAAGATAACGGCTAAAACCTCGGCCCCTCAAACCGTAAACGAAGAGGAGGAGCACCGTGAAAAAACAGTGGCCGGGATGTAGCCAGATGTCCTGCCAGACGCACGAAATTATGAATTTAATATATATACTGTCTGAAAAATAAAGTTTGGTGGACGTGATCTAGTTTACAAATTTCTATTATATGAACTATAGCCGGTATGACTAATATCTCCCTAACGAAAATGAACTACAGCACTCTTACAAATCAAATAATAAAAAAAATAGTCCCTACTTGCTGCAAGAACCTTATATTATTATTAATATATAGTTATACAAGAGATTTTAGGTTCCTCCCTTAGGTTGCGAACCTCTTGCGAATCTCAAATTGCCAGTTAATAAAGAAAAAGAAAAAAAAGAATTAACAACCAAACCCAAGTTATTAAAGATTTGTGATGTTGTTGAAGGTTTGTTTACATTAAATGTGTTTGTAAACAGCACTATATTTTCAACTGTAATCAAATGAGTAACGGTAAAGATGCTTATTTTTCATCCATGTCAAAACTATTCAATTACATATGTGAATATTCATGTAAATTATTCAGTATGATGCTGACCGGGAATTTAAAAACACAAGTACACGGCGTATTTGGAGTACTATTGGAATATTATAGGAATTTTTCATTAGGGCAGTGTGCTGGCCTCAGAGCGAGTGTTGTTGTGACTCGTGATATATTCAGGGTTAGTGGATTTAATGTTGTTATTACAGATAATTATTTCCAAGTCTCAATATCAGAACGTCGCCTGCCTTCCAGCCCCTTTCATACTGCGAAGCTCTGTATTGTTGGCCTAACAGTGATTGTGCTATGTATGCTCATTTTTAAACCATTTTTGTACATGTTCAACAATGTGTGATCAATCACAGATGAATAAAGCATCAGCGGTATTATTTTTCTTCTTTCTGAGTTGTGTTGCCTTATTAAACAAATATAAATGTTGCATATAAAAGGAAGCCAAAGCAGCATGTGCATTATTTTGGGGGGGCGGGGATGGCGGGATACAGCGACATATATATGAGTATTCATTCAAATTAAACATTCAGCACCAAGATAACAAGTCACTACTCAAAGCAAATTGCTTATCAAAAAACATTTTATTTGTAACATCAGAAAATGTACATCAAATGTATACATTTAAAAAAAAGAAAAAGCAATCACACCCACACTAGCATAGCAAGTGCCCTTTCTAAAAGACTAACAGTCAAACACACGTTGTATGTCTTGCACATTAAAAACAGCAGGTAATCATTGGTATCAGTGTTATATCAAAACGAGTTCTGTGCTGTAAGTAACTCCGTAAGTTGCTGAGTGATTGGCACACACACAAAAAATATATATATCAGAGACTTCTCAGACAGACTCCAAACATTAATTTCTGACATATTAATACATGATAAATACAGGAAATTTGGAAATCGGAACATCACTTCCTGATCATGATTTTTTTTCCTTTAAATACCCACCATCTTGTTATTACTTCAAATTTAATAACTGCAATTGACATCGAAAAACCCCTCCCAACCCCAACCCATATCCTCCACACAGAAACGCACCCATACAAACTCTCCTTTCACTTGAATGCATTACTGTTAATGTATATTAGAGTCGCCACAAAAGACATGATGCACAAAGCTATGATTTAGGCAGACATTCAAGTAAAGCCAGATTTTTCTCTTCTGAAAATGTTCAGTAGAATCGAAGTTCGCTCGATTTTCAGGTTCAGAAAAGTATGTGACTGCTATATAGCACATCTTGCTCCCGTCTTCTTCTTTGCTGTTAGTTCATGTCCTTTTGTCCCCCACAAGCTAAAATGCAGGTTTGCTCATGTACTCCTCCAATGTCTAAGGAAAAAAAAAATAGAAAAGAAAGCACAAGGGATGAAAAAAACAATCAGGTTCCCAGACTCCAAAAAGTGCAGTGTAATACAAAATCATATCCACAGTCACACATCTACACATCACCTGTTACAAAGTGCTGAGCACAGCAATGCACTAACATAAGCGGAACAGCTAACCTTTCTGTCCATATTCAAGGTCATCCAAACAGCTCCACCTCATACCACTCACTGATGTCATCCTGAAGCGATAATGGTCAAAATGAATGGGAGACTAAACTGCATCACTCTAGATAAAAAGTGTTAATCACCCTGACTCAGGAGCACCGAACAACACACCCAGCTACGCAGAGAGCCACGAGCCTACAGGGAGAGCAGGAAGCATCAGCGCTAACATTTAAAGAAAATCTGTCTCACGCTAACACCCAGACAGAGAGAGAGAGACATAAGGGGTAAGAAAAACAGCAAAACACAGACCTCTAAAACAAAGAGGGAGCAGCCACTACTATCCACATTCCTTTTAGTTATGAGGAAGACAAAGGCACAACAGGGATCACCACATTTGATTGGATTCTACAATGCACCGACTACTTCGCATGCACACACACATCACGTTCCCATGTCAGAGCCTCACACAATACTCGTGTTGCTTAAAGTAAACAGTAAGCACTAATTTCAGGTATCTGGGCCTTTCAAAATACCCCACAACCATGATTTAAATAAATAAACAAACTTTGTAATACATTTGAAAACATGGCAACATTGCTTTAAAAGGAGACACTACAAGTGAAGTCTGTTAAATACAATGTATCACCATTAACCTTCTCCTGTTGAGCACTTACATTAAGTATAGTTTTTTGGTATTGCAACTTTTTAACTGAACACTGAAGAGAGCTGATACAGATTTATTCCAGCCTGTCATTCTGTAAGGTTTGCTGTATGTAAGTGCTACTGGAATGGGGATTTCTGAGGAAAACAGCATTTCAGTGTCTGTTTTACTAATAAGAATTAACCAACAGATAAACCGTGAAACTTCCTAAGAGCTGCAAGTAAATTTAAATTAAAAAAAAAAAAAAAAAAGGCACTGCCTCCTTAAACATGCACTAATTTGCACAGTGGATAAAATGCATATTTAAGACATTTTATTTACATTAGTCTGAACAAAATAATAATAATAATAATAATAATAATAATAATAATAAAAAAATCCAAATAGGCCAGAATCTCAAAAATCAACCAGTGCATGAAGAAAACACGCCTATGCCTGCAGTGTCTCGCTTTATACACTGAGCCATGCAACAGATGTTACGTGCTCACACCACAGGTGCAAGTCACAGTGTTTTACTAAGTGCATTTGTGCGTGTGTGCGTGCATATCAGTGAATCTCACCTCCTGTAACATGTCTGAGGCTTCAATGGAGCGATTCACAATCTGTTTAGAGGTTTCCTGGATCTCGCCTCCCATTAGAAACTCATCCAGGATAAAATAGGCCTTCTCAAAGTTAAAGATAATGTCCAGCTCACACACCTGAGAGGATGACGCAGTTATTAAATTAGAGAAACTACAGAGCAGAACATATTCTTAGATCCAATCTTTGCAGCCTAGTTGAGCAGCAATGTTATTGATTTTTAGCAACACTTTACTTCAGACTACAGCTGCATAACAAATATGAGAAGGTGAAATACATTGCCAAAGTATTTGTCTAGCAGCTCCACGTAGCGATGAATGATCTCCAGGGCTAGCAGCTCATTTTCCTGGCTCTCTACTCCCAAACAGAAATACAGGCTTGCATACCTGAGGAGAATCAGACACAGATGATTAACAGTGGCATTGTGGGGACCAACACCTATTGGAGAAGTGTCAATAAACACGTGAAGCAATCTTACCGCTTATAAACAATCTTTAGGTCTTTCCACTGCATGAAGTTGCAGGAGCGGGGTTGCCGTGCCAGCACCATGGTGGTCATGTCCCTGATGATCTTCTTCTTCTCACGTTCCGACATTGACGTGAACCACTTCTGCAGACGCAGCTTCCCCTGGCGACTGAAGAGCAGCATGAAGCGCATCTAACGACACAAGAGGGCATTGTCAGAGGGGAAATCCTGGCCCGTGTCGAGGCAGCAATGATGACTCACACAAACAAACAGAAATCCACATCAAGTTAATCCCGAGAAACTTTAAGCAGCCGGCGCTGCGCCCACACCAACACACACAGTCACAATCAGGACTGCACAAGTGGCTGTGCTGCTGGCACGGTTCATTAGCGAGTAACTTGACTGACCAAACACGAGGGGAAATAAAGGGCTTGACAGGGAGTAATAGTGAAGGTCACTGACAACTGAGGAAGTGGCAGTTTTCAAGTGAGCCAGCGAGTCCAGCTTTTGGATGTTTGGATAACGTGTTTCCGAGCACCGGTCAGGTTTGAGTACATATCCAAACAGACATTAGTCTCCTTCATCCCCACCCCCGCTCTGTCGGGACCACACTGCCGTGCCGTTTCCTCTCATTGTTAAAGTTAGGCTTCAAGAATAAATATTACTTTGTCTTCAGGCTTTATGGAGCATTTTTCTCCCAATCAGAAGCGAGAACATGCAAGGCTCTCTGAAATATCATCCTGATTTTAGGTTTCATTTAAAGAAAAAACAAAAACAAAAATCAGACTCGACTTTAAGAGTACCAGGTTTTTGCTTGCAAGAAAACAAAAGAGGAAAAACAGGGGGGTTGTCTCAGTAGTGAGGTCTGTCAATTATTTTCTACCATTCAGGTCACCAGTGAGGCTGTAATGCCTAAACCCTGATGTGCAACAAAGAGCACACTTAAAAGCCAGTGGACACCACTGCAGTCATAAAGAAGTATGTGTAGTATGACACAATTGGCGTGTCCTGCACAACATTTATGATTCAGCCTGCTTATGTGTCATTCAAATGAGCAGCTGAGTTCAAGTATCTGAGAAACCCATTAACTAAAGACAGAAAAAAAAAAACAATACACGGTTATACAATGTATAAAGAAGAAACATTCTTCTATTATAGCCATTCAGGCCAACAAAATGAAGACATACCAGTTCTTCCACTACTAGAAATGAACAATACAGAAGGAGATAACATTATTAGACTGAGTGATAGTCAAGCATTAATCACCAGAGATACAGGAAGACTTGATTGTTTAAGTCTACACACCTGTAGGTCATTTACAGGTGTGTACACCCCTTAAGAACTCACAGGCAAATTAATATGTAAAGAATTAAACAGCCAGCAGGGCAACGCTCGACGAGAAGTCACAAAACCTGTTTTCTTACAGAACAGACCTACTGGTAGAGCACACACCTTACTTCCGAGTTTTATTAAAAGTAGGATACAGACAATATAAGTGGAAACCAAGTAGACTCTCATCAGGCCTGAATCGGAAAACAAACCTGCCCCAGTGTAGCAGGAAGTGCTGTTAGAGGCGCAGTTTCTAGCTTTAGCTACCTGTCAGCGACAGCAGGTGCAACAGGTGAACAGTCGGGGTATTTTTCGCCTACAGTCAAGCGCACAAAACAAACACATTCGCCAGAAACTTACCATTTTCAACACCAGACCGAGGAGCTACAAAACACCGTGAAAATATTTAAAAACGAAGTACTTTAACCCTCACAAAGGGTCAAACTGCCCGGATGGACACATATCTATCCTCCGTGAAGTGAGTACAGGGTGAAACTTGGCTAACTCCGCCCACAATGCCGCTGGGCAGTGACGCGTCATCCGTACTCACAACCATCGTGGATTGGTTATCCTGGGCTTGTATTTCCAGGGATCCGCCCAACCAGGAGCGCCCTTTAAAAAAAACAAAAAAATCTGCCACGTGACTGTGGGACCCACGTTAATGAATGAACTGATAACTGGCGTCGCTTGACTGCTGTCAGGGTGTGTGTTTAAATGTTATTCCCGGTCAGAGTCGGCAGAGAGCAGCAAGCGCATCCCTCTCCTCCTGCCTCATGTGATTATGATCTGTCACACAGCTGCTTGAACAAGGACTGGAAAACTTGATGCACTTTGTTTGGGATTGTTCCTCATTTGAAATCATGTCTCTGTACCGAAATGCCATCTGGTTTTTGAATGGAATCCAGCAATATACAAGGTCAGTAGGATATCATTTTGGTGTTGATCTGCTGTGTGTAGGGATGTTGTCCAAAGATGCCTGGTAAATATCAATCTTTTTACTTGGTATTGTTTTGTTCTGTCTCTCTTTTTTTAAAACTAAAATTAAGATTTCTGCCCTGTGACATGCATTTCATGTTGTTTATTCAACCCTAAAAGCTGCTCCGCAGAGTCATATCAAAGGTCTGATCACTGTGTGGCACAATCATCACACAAACTGCCCTTTATGTACAGTTACAATAGTTCTATTGACAGCTCGTGTGTCTTGAGGATGACAGTCTCATCGTCTCATCATCTCAACAACAATGCAGGCTGTCAATCACAAGCCGCCTTTTGAGAAATGATCAGTCCTCGCCTTGAAGCATTACCTTTATTACATGTTTTCTGCACGCCCGTAGGAAGGGATACGAGGTGGCATCTAAAGAGTTTGATCCCCGGGACCTGGATGTGTCGGTGGTGGGGAGGTCATTTATGATTACTGGAGCCAACAGTGGAATTGGAAAAGCAACAGCCGTGGCTATAGCCAAGAAAGGTACACGCCGGAGGGTTGTGTTATCTGTCAAACATCACCACATAATGATAGCAAATAAAACCTGATGCTTTGTCTCCAGGTGGCACGGTCCACATGGTTTGTAGGAACAAAGATAAAGCAGAAGAAGCCAAAGAAGACATTGTTACTAAATCTGGGAACACGGTGAGAATATTGACTTTGAATACAGAAAGTAAAAAGCAAATAAAAAATCCCCTGATTTATGAGAAACAAAGTGATGCCTAATCTTCATATTCTAGGAAGTATACATCCATACTGTGGACATGTCCCAGTCACGCAAAGTCTGGGAGTTTGCAGAGGCCTTCAAGAAGCAGTATCCATCACTGAATGGTTTGGCATGTATCACCTTTATTCTTTATTACAATAAATAGATTTCATATCCTCTTTCCTAAGCTAACTGTGTTAATGGTTTAGACTAAGTTGTGTGATTGGACTTTTCTCTGCTTTGGCAGATAAACAATGCAGGGTGTATGGTGCACAAGAGAGAGCTGAACACTGAAGGGCTGGAGAAGAACTTTGCCACCAACACTATGGGTGAGATTTTCTTCTGATGGTCAGACTGTTGTCTTGCATAATAATTTTTCAATTTTTTAATTTCCTTTTTCAGGGGTGTATATTCTCACACAGACTCTTATACCACTTTTACAGAAGAGCCGGGATCCAAGAGTGGTATGATTACACGCATAAGTGCACACAAACAAAGTGTTCATCTGTATAGTGCAGACAGCATAATGCCACTCTTGTCCACGTTGTAGTGGGTCATGGTGTTGTAAGCACACTGATGTATTTATTCCCCCTCCTGCCTATTAGATCACTGTGTCCTCAGGAGGCATGCTGGTACAGAAACTCGAGGTCGATGACTTGCAGTCGGCAAAGGGCTACTTTGATGCCGTTATGGTCTACGCACAGAACAAGGTAAGACAGGAAGGTGTGGTCCAGAGTTTTTAAAAATTAAGTTTGAATCTGCTTTACATTGCACAATACCATGTCTGACTGGTTATATACAGTGGGGCAAAAAAGTATTTAGTCAGCCACCGATTGTGCAAGTTCCCCCACCTAAAATGATGACAGAGGTCAGTAATTTGCACCAGAGGTACACTTCCACTGTGAGAGACAGAATGTGAAAAAAAAATCCATGAATCCACATGGTAGGATTTGTAAAGAATTTATTCGTAAATCAGGGTGGAAAATAAGTATTTGGTCACCTCAAACAAGGAAAATCTCTGGCTCTCACAGACCTGTAACGTCTTCTGTAAGAAGCTTTTCTGTCCCCCACTCGTTACCTGTATGAATGGCACCTGTTTGAACTCATCATCTGTATAAAAGACACCTGTCCACAGCCTCAAACAGTCAGACTCCAAACTCCGCCATGGCCAAGACCAAAGAGCTTTCGAAGGACACCAGGAAAAGTATTGTAGACCTGCACCAGACTGGGAAGAGTGAATCTACAATAGGCAAGCAGCTTGGTGTGAAAAAATCAACTGTGGGAGCAATCATCAGAAAATGGAAGACATACAAGACCACTGATAATCTCCCTCGATCTGGGGCTCCACGCAAGATCTCATCCCGTGGGGTCAAAATGATCATGAGAACGGTGAGCAAAGATCCCAGAACCACACAGGGGGACCTGGTGAATGACCTGCAGAGAGCTGGGACCAAAGTAACAAAGGTCACCATCAGTAACACACTACAACGGCAGGGAATCAAATCCCGCAGTGCCAGACGTGTTCCGCTGCTGAAGCCAGTGCATGTCCAGGCCCGTCTGAAGTTTGCCAGAGAGCACATGGATGATACAGCAGAGGATTGGGAGAATGTCATGTGGTCGGATGAAACCAAAGTAGAACTTTTTGGTATAAACTCAACTCGTCGTGTTTGGAGGAAGAAGAATACTGAGTTGCATCCCAAGAACACCATACCTACTGTGAAGCATGGGGGTGGAAACATCATGCTATGGGGCTGTTTTTCTGCCAAGGGGACAGGACGACTGATCCGTGTTAAGGACAGAATGAATGGGGCCATGTATCGTGAGATTTTGAGCCAAAACCTCCTTCCATCAGTGAGAACTTTGAAGATGAAACGAGGCTGGGTCTTCCAACATGACAATGATCCAAAACACACCGCCCGGGCAACAAAGGAGTGGCTCCGTAAGAAGCATTTGAAAGTCCTGGAGTGGCCTAGCCAGTCTCCAGACCTCAACCCCATAGAAAATCTGTGGCGGGAGTTGAAAGTCCGTGTTGCTCGGCGACAGCCCCAAAACATCGCTGCTCTCGAGAAGATCTGCATGGAGGAATGGGTCAAAATACCAGCTACTGTGTGTGCAAACCTGGTAAAGACCTATAGTAAACGTTTGACCTCTGTTATTGCCAACAAAGGTTATGTTACAAAGTATTGAGTTGTATTTTTGTTATTGACCAAATACTTATTTTCCACCCTGATTTAAGAATAAATTCTTTACAAATCCTACCATGTGGATTCATGGATTTATTTTTTTTTTTTTTTTTTTTTTTTCACATTCTATCTCTCACAGTTGAAGTGTACCTCTGGTGCAAATTACTGACCTCTGTCATCATTTTAGGTGGGGGAACTTGCACAATCGGTGGCTGACTAAATACTTTTTTGCCCCACTGTAGGTCATTTAAAGTAATGGAGAAGACTGACGTAAGATGTAAAGAGGCCACATTGTGTTGTTCCTTTTCAGAGACAGCAGGTGGTGCTGACAGAACAGTGGGCCAAAGCCAATCCTGTCATTCACTTTTCTGTCATGCATCCAGGCTGGGTAGATACACCAGGTACACTCATTTGAGCAACAGTTGCAGTTTTTCTTGAACTGTATCTTAATTAGTCTTCCTCCTTTCTCAAAAACCACAAATACAATTCACAGCTAGATCTATTTTCTCGTTTCCAGCCGTTTCTACATCAATGCCTCAGTTCCACCGGATGATGGAGGACAGGCTGCGTACTGTAGAACAAGGAGCCGACACAGTCGTGTGGTTGGCTTTGTCCAGGGTGGCTTCCAGAACACGCAGCGGGCAGTTCTTTCAAGGTAAACAACACAAAATGTGACGGGCTCCACCATATTTTCTGTTAACCTTCTCAGGTCAACTCAAGCATCGTCATCGTCTGGCGCCACCAGTTCTGACAGCTTACATGTGTTGCAGATCGGAAGCCTGTTCCCACCCACCTCCCTCTGGCTTGGACTCACAGTTCGGCTGAGGAGATTCAGAGTTTCATAACTCAATTGGAGAATCTATCCAAAGATTTTCAGTTGCAAGCTGACGCAGATCCCGCTGGACCTTGTAGACCACAGTTTGTCTAGTTTGTCTGCTACATCATAACCATATGACCAGCTACTGGAAAAGGTGTCGTCGATTCTTAACAAGCCTCCTGTCTACAGCAACAGTTGCATGTTTATGAAACTGCGTTCTGTAGTGTTACAAAATATTGATTAAAGACGAAATAACTGACTTGATTGCATGTGCACTCATGTCTTGTATATTTACATTACAAAAACAGATTTCTGACTCGTGCTTTATATTTGGAAATTTGCACAAATGTCAACAGTGCTTAAATCTCAGATGTGCAGTTGATGTTTGATAAAATGGAAAAAAATGGCTTTTCTGCACCTGATTGCTCAGTCTCCTTTATGGCGCCACATTGTTACATATTTGCACAATATTACGGCAGTATAAACCCAACCTAACAGATGGAATGTGGGGGGGGGGGAGAATACCTATTATTATCTCAAATTCAGATAACTGAACCATGACCAAGCGTGCTGGGAAGGAAACACTTTCTTCTATATAAACACCAGATGACAGCGTTGTGTCCATTGGGAGAAAAGACTGTACTTGTGTTCTTGCAGAGCAGCGGGATAAACTAGATGTTTTCATCCTCAACTGTCTGGGTGTGGATTTAAATGCTATTTCCACAAAGGGTCAGCAGAGAGCAGTAAACGCTCCCTCTCAGCCCGCTTCCTTTCATACTGATCCGTCACAGCTGGTTGACAAACACCAGTAAATTAGTGGACTTTTTGCAATTGCTTGCTTGAAA